GGGGGCACAGGTACACCTGGGGGGCACCTGGGCACACCATGGGATAATTGGGATGCACTGGGACACACTGGGGAACACCTGGGGGGTAACTGGGATGTACTGGAACATACCTGGGGACACCTGGGGGTAACTGGGATGCACTGGGACACGGGGCTAACTGGGATGCACTGGGACACACCTGGGGACACCTGGGGGTAATTGGGATGCACTGGGACACACCTGGGGACACTTGGGCCAGACTTGTGCCACACTCCCTGTGCCACAGGTGGTGCCACCTGAGTCTCTGCTCACTGTCCTGTCCCCACAGGTGACCCCGAAGGAACCAGAGACTGTCTGAGCCACCCCCCGAAGGAACGAGAGACTGTCTGAGCCACCCCCACCTGTGCCCAGGTGCCAACTCCTGTCCCCAAGGCACACCTGGACCCTCAATGCCACCTCCACCTGTGCCCAGGTGCCAACACCTGTCCCCAGGGCACACCTGGACCCCAAATGCCACCACCACCTGTCCCCAGGAGCCATTACCCCCACCCCACCTGTGCCCAGGTGCCAACACCTGTCCCTGAGTGCCACCATTTGTCCCCAAGTGTCATTACCTGTCCCTAGGTGCCCCCAACACCCCTAGGTGTCCCCAAACCATTAAAGTTGCTGCAGTGACACCAATGGAGTCGATCTACTTTGGGGGGAAGGGACAGGTTGGGGACCCCCAGGTGACCCCAAGGTGCCCCCCAGGTAGCTGTGCCCAGGTGCCAACACCTGTCCCTGAGTGCCACCATTTGTCCCCAAGTGTCATTACCTGTCCCTAGGTGCCCCCAACACCCCTAGGTGTCCCCAAACCATTAAAGTTGCTGCAGTGACACCAATGGAGTCGATCTACTTTGGGGGGAAGGGACAGGTTGGGGACCCCCAGGTGACCCCAAGGTGCCCCCCAGGTAGGACAGGAGCTCCAGGTGAGTCTTTCCCCTGGTTTATTGGTGCCCAGGGGCAACTTTTCAATATGAAAAACCAAACAAACAGGCAAAAAAAAAAAAACACCAAAAAGGGCAAAAAGCAACTGAAAATGGGACAGGAATCACCGAAACTGGGGTAAAGGGCCCAAAAATGGAGAGAAATGGAGAAAAAAATGGGAGAAATGGAGGAAAATATGGACAGGAATAGACAAAAAATGGACAGAATTGGAGCAAAAATGGGGTAAATTGACCAAAACTGGGGGAAATGGAGCAAAAATGGAGATAAATGGTCCAAAACTGGGGGAAATGGACCAAAAATAAAGAGAAATGGACCAAAAAAATGGAGAAAAATTGAACTAAATGAAGCCAAAATGGGCAAAATTGGACCTAAATGGACCAAAATGGGCAGAAATGGAGCAAAAGGGGCAAAAATGGACAGAAATGGGACAAAAATGGGGGAAATGGACACAAATGGAAAAAAAATGAGGAAAAATGGACAGAAATGCTCCAAAAATGGGGGGAAATGGACATAAACTGACCAAAAATGGACGTAAGTGGACCAAAAATTAAGACATAAATGGCCCAAAATAGACCTAAGTTGACAAAAAAAGTATCAAAAGGACCAAAAATGGCCCCAAAATGACTCTAAATGAACCAAAATGGCCCAAAGATGCCCCAAAATTTAACTGAAATGGGAGAACTGAGCCCAAAATGGTCCAAAGTCCTGAAAAGAGGAGAAAATGAAGTCAAAAATAGGTAAAATATGGAGAAATGAACCAAAATGAGGGAAAAGAAGCTAAAAATAGAGAAAATGTGATAAAAAAATGGAGGAAATGTGACCAAAATGGAGGAAATGTGACCAAAAAGCCAAAGCTGAGGAAGATGAAGGTCCTGGGGACGATGATGAAGGTCAAGGAAGTCCAAGGCTGAGAAGGAGGAAGGTCAAGAGGTCCTGGTGCCAGTGATGGTCAATGGTGTCTTCCTGGTGCCGAAGATGAAGGTCAAGAGGTTCTGGTGATGAAGGTCAAGAGGTTCTGGTGATGGTGATGATGGTCAAGAGGTCCTCATGAGGATGAGGAAGGTCAAGAGGTCCCCATGAGGATGAGGAAGGTCACCGGCTCTGAGGGTGGTGAAGGCCACAGACTCTTGGAGGCCAACGATAAAGGCCAAGGCCTGTCCCAAGAGGATGATGAAGGCCAAGGACTCTCTGAGGAGGAGGATGAAGATCAAGGACCTTCCAACGAAGGCCAAACGCTCTTTGGGGCCGACGCCCAAGGCCAAGTGACCAACCATGATGAAGCCCAAGGACTTGTTGGGGCTCTTTGAGGAGGAGGATGAAGATCCTCGAGGACCATGAGGAGAACCAAAGGCTCTTTGGAGCTCCTTGAGGCTCTTCAAAAAGATGAAGAGCAAAGGCTGGAGAAGGTCTCTGAGGGTTGAGGAGTCTCCACTGACCACGGTGAGTTGGGAGGACGATGATGTGGAGGATGAAGGTCAACAATGGCTTCGAGAACATCTACTCCATGGCCAAAGTCAACACAGAAGGTTCTCCAAGACCATGATGAGAAACAGGAGGTTCTCCAAGACCATGATGAGAAACAGGAGGTTCTCCAAGACCATGATGAGAAACAGGAGGTTCTCCAAGACCATGATGAGAAACAGGAGGTTCTCCAAGACCATGATGAGAAACAGGAGGTTCTCCAAGACCATGATGAGAAACAGGAGGTTCTCCAAGACCATGATGAGAAACAGGAGGTTCTCCAAGACCATGATGAGAAACAGGAGGTTCTCCAAGACCATGATGAGAAACAGGAGGTTCTCCAAGACCATGATGAGAAACAGGAGGTTCTCCAAGACCATGATGAGAAACAGGAGGTTCTCCAAGACCATGATGAGAAACAGGAGGTTCTCCAAGACCATGATGAGAAACAGGAGGTTCTCCAAGACCATGATGAGAAACAGGAGGTTCTCCAAGACCATGATGAGAAACAGGAGGTTCTCCAAGACCATGATGAGAAACAGGAGGTTCTCCAAGACCATGATGAGAAACAGGAGGTTCTCCAAGACCATGATGAGAAACAGGAGGTTCTCCAAGACCATGATGAGAAACAGGAGGTTCTCCAAGACCATGATGAGAAACAGGAGGTTCTCCAAGACCATGATGAGAAACAGGAGGTTCTCCAAGACCATGATGAGAAACAGGAGGTTCTCCAAGACCATGATGAGAAACAGGAGGTTCTCCAAGACCATGATGAGAAACAGGAGGTTCTCCAAGACCATGATGAGAAAGGTTCTGTTCTCCAAGACCATGATGAGAAACAGGAGGTTCTCCAAGACCATGATGAGAAACAGGAGGTTCTCCAAGGCCAATGACGCAGAAGGTTCTCCAAGACCATGATGAGGAACAGAAGGATCTCCAAGGCCAATGCTGAGGAACAGAAGATTCTCCAAGGTTAATGAAGTGGAAGAGAAGGTTCTCCAAGACAATGATGTGGAAGAGAAGAAGGTTCTCCAAGGCCAATGATGAGGAACACAAGGGTCTCCAGGGACAGTGACATGGAAATGAAGGTTCTCCAAGGCCAACGATGAGGAAGAGAAGGATCTCCAAGGACAATGATGTGAAACAGAAGGATCTCCAACGACGAGGAACAGAAGGTTCTCCAAGGACGACGATGCGGCAGTTGAGGCTCTCCGAGCAAGATTCTGAAGTCCTCCCAGGCCCATCAAGCCTCTTCTTCGGCCTCTTCCCCAAAGTCCTCCTCCTCCTCAGCCGTGGCGTCCTGGTACTGCTGGTACTCACTGACCAGGTCGTTCATGTTGCTCTCGGCCTCGGTGAACTCCATCTCGTCCATGCCCTCGCCCGTGTACCAGTGCAGGAAAGCCTTGCGGCGGAACATGGCCGTGAACTGCTCCGAGATCCTCTTGAAGAGCTCCTGGATGGCGGTGGAGTTGCCGATGAAGGTGACGGCCATCTTGAGGCCTCGCGGGGGGATGTCGCACACGGCCGTCTTCACGTTGTTGGGGATCCACTCCACGAAGTAGGAGCTGTTCTTGTTCTGCACGTTCAGCATCTGCTCGTCCACCTCCTTCATGGACATGCGGCCGCGGAAGACAGCTCCACGGTGAGGTAGCGGCCGTGGCGCGGGTCGCAGGCCGCCATCATGTTCTTGGCATCGAAGACCTGCTGGGTGAGCTCGGGCACGGTGAGGGCGCGGTACTGCTGGCTGCCGCGCGACGTCAGCGGCGCGAAGCCAGGCATGAAGAAGTGCAGGCGCGGGAAGGGCACCATGTTGACGGCCAGCTTGCGCAGGTCAGCGTTGAGCTGGCCGGGGAAGCGCAGGCAGGTGGTCACTCCACTCATGGTGGCCGACACCAGGTGGTTGAGATCGCCGTAGGTGGGCGTGGTCAGCTTCAGCGTGCGGAAGCAGATGTCATACAAGGCCTCGTTGTCGATGCAATACGTCTCGTCCGTGTTCTCCACCAGTTGGTGCACGGATAAGGTGGCGTTGTAAGGTTCTACCACCGTGTCCGACACCTGAGGGGACAACCGGGGGTCAGCAGGGGCAGGAGGGGTCCAAGGGGGCAAGACCAAACCTTCAGGGACCTCTTGGGTCATCCAGTCCAACCCTTGACCTCTCCGGTCATCCAGTCCAACCCCTGACCTCCCACAGACCTCTCAGGCCATCCTTCATCTGTCATGAGTCCTACAAGATCTCCAAGAGCATCAAGTCCAACCCTTGACCTGCCATGGAATCATCAAGGGTGGAAGAGATCAATTCTGACCACCTCCAACCCTTGACCTGTCCTCAGTCCCTGGAAGGTCTCTGAGCTCATCCAGTCCAACCCTTGGCCTATCATGGACTCACACAAGGTCTCTAAGAGCACTGAGTCCAACTCACCTGGGCCATCTCCTACCATGACCCCTGAGACCTCCAGGGATGGTCCCACCTGGACCTGTCTCCACCCCAACCCCTAGGAAACACCTCAAAACCATCAACTCTTCTCCTCAACTTGGTGACATCTCCACAACCTTCACCCACATCATCCTCCAAGTCCTCCTAGAGCTCCAACCCCTCCAGGGCTAGTCCCACCTCCATCCCTAACCCCTACAAACCACCTTGAGCTCACCAACTCTTCCACCCCAACTCGGTGACACCTCCATAACCTTTCACCCACATCATCCTCCAAGTCCTCCTAGAGGTCCAACCCCCCCCCGGGCTGGTCCCAGCTCCACCCAGGAGGTCCTACCTTGGGTGAGGGCACCACGCTGAAGGTGTTCATGATGCGATCGGGGTACTCCTCCCTGATCTTGGAGATGAGCAGGGTGCCCATGCCCGAGCCGGTGCCACCACCCAGGGAGTGGGTCAGCTGGAAGCCCTGGAGACAGTCACAGCTCTCGGCCTCCTTCCGCACCACGTCCAGGACCGAGTCCACCAGCTCAGCACCTTCTGTGTAGTGACCCTTGGCCCAGTTGTTGCCAGCGCCGCTCTGGCCTGGAGGGAGAACACGGACAAAGGTCATTGAGGAGCTTCAAACCACTTCAGGAGCCTAAAATGGTCTTTGAGGGCCTTCAAATCACCACTGAGAAGCTTCAAGCTGCTTTCAAGAGCTTTAAATGCTCTTTGAGGACCTCCAAACCCTCTTGAAGACCCCAACACCTCCCCAGTGACCCTTGAGGACCTCTAAATCCCCCGATGACCTCCAAAGCCTCCGTGATGACCTCTAACCCTCCCTGAGGATCCTCAACCCCTCCTTGATGACCTCTAACCCCCCAAGGACCTCCAAACCCCCCGAGGACCCTAAACCCCTCCTTGATGACCTCCAAACCCCCTGAGGTCCCTCAACCCCTCCTTGATGACTTCCAAACCCCCTGAGGACCCTCAACCCCTCCTTGATGACCTCCAAACTCCACTGAAGACCCTCAACTCCTCCTTGAAGACCTCCAAAACCCCGTGAGGTGAGGACCTTCAACCCCTCACTGATGTCCTCCAAACTCTCCTGAGGACCCCAAACCACCCTGAGGACCTCCAACCCCTCCAGGTGTAACTGACCGAAAACGAAGTTGTCCGGCCTGAAGATCTGCCCGAAGGGTCCGGAGCGTACGGAGTCCATGGTGCCAGGCTCCAAGTCCACCAGGATGGCCCTGGGCACATACTTCCCACCTGTGGGGACACCTGGGAGGTCACCTGGAGGTCACAGGGTCACCAGGACCCCAAAACTGACCTAAACCCACCCAAAATCGGCCAAAAAATGGCCAAAATCCAACCAAACCCACCCAAAATGGGCCCAGGTGGCACCAGGAGGTGCCACAAGACACAGGTGACACCTGGGGGCACACCTGGGAGGTCACAAGGTCACCACAACCCCAAAATTGATCCAAACCCACCCAAAATGGGCCCAGGTACCCCAAGGTGTGTTTTGATCCTGTCCCACGGGCCTCAGGGGTGCCCAAGTGACCCTTGGGGGCACCCCAGGTATGCCCGGAACACCCCCAGGTGTCTGTGAAGGCAGCCCAGGTCTGCCCAGGTGCCCCCAGAGGCAGCCTAGGTGTACCCAAAATGCCTCCCAGGTGTCCCCAAGGGCCACCCCAGGTGCCCCCAAAATGCCCTCAGGTGTCCACAGGTGTCCCCCGGTGTATCCCATGTGACCCCAGAGGCAGCACAGGTGCCCCCAAAATGCCCCCAGGTGACCCCAAGTGCAGCCCAGGTGTGCCTAGGTGTATCTAGAACACCCCCAGGTGCCCCCACAGGCACCCCAAGTGTGCTCAAGTGCCCCCAGGTGTCTCCAACACACCCCCAGGTGTGCCAAGGTGTACCCAGGTGCCCCCAGAGGAGCACAGGTGCCCCCAGGTGTACCCAAAACACACCCAGGTGTATCCTAGGTGCCCTCAGGTGTGTCCCAGGTGCCCCCCAGAGCTCCAAGGTGCAGTCAGGTGTGTCTGAAATGCCCCCAGGTGTGCCCACCTGTGGCCTCATTGTAGTAGACACTGATGCGGTCGAGCTGCAGGTCGCTGTCCCCGTGGTAGGTGCCCGTGGGGTCGATGCCATGTTCATCGCTGATCACCTCCCAGAACTGAAACCGTTTGGGGAGAAAAACAGTGAGTTTGGGCAAAAGAGAATTTAGAAGAAAAAAAGGAGAATTTGGGGGGAAAAACACTGAGCTTGGGCAAAAAGGAGTTTAGGAGAAAAAAAAGGAGAATTTGGGGTAAAAAGAAGTTTGAGGGAAAAACAGTGAGTTTGGGGGGAAAATGAGTTTGGGGGAAAAAAGGAGAATTCAGGGGAAAACAGTGAGTTTGGGGAGAAAAACTGAGTTTGGGAAAAAGGAGTTTGGGGGAAAACAGGTGATTTTGGGGGTGAGAACGGTGATTTTTGGGGTCACATTTAAAGCCATTAGAACCTGAAAAGGAAATTTGGGGTGAAAAAAAGGGGATTTGGGGTCTGAAAATGGATTTTTGGGGGGGGGAAGGAGATTAGGGGGCAAAAAAAGGGAGACTTGGGGGCAAAAAAAGGGGGCAGATTTTGGGGTCATTCCAAGCCATTATGACCTGAAAAGGGAGTTTGAGGGTAAAAAAGGGAATTTCAGGTCCTGAAAAGAGGCCTTGGGTGAAAAAAAGGGGATTTTGGAGCCTGAAAGGGGATTCTGGGGAGAAAAAAAAGGAGATTTTGGGGAAAAGGGGCAGATTTTGGGGAAAAAAAGGAGGATTTGGGGGGAAAAAGGAGGACTTCAGGGGGCAATAAAAGGGGATTTTGGGGTCATTCCAAGCCGTTATCACCTGAAAAGGAAGTTTGGGGTTAAAAAATGTGATTTTGGGTCTGAAAAGTGAGATTGGGGGCAAAAAAGGAAATGTTTTTGGGGAAAAAAAAGGGATTTGGGGGCAAAACAAAGGGGGATCTTGGGGAAAAAAAACGGGATTTTGGGGCAAAAAAAGGGGGACACGGGGGCCAAAAAAACTGGGGACTTGGGGGCCAAAAAAATGGGGATCTGAGGGCCAAAAAAGTGCAACTGATGTGGAGGCAAAAAAAAAAAAAAAAAAAAAAAAAAAAGATTGGGGAAAA